AGCTGGAATTAGATAACATGCTGCAACAATTCTGGTTTTCCAGCTGGAGAGGGAGAGAAGCTGCTGTGGGTGTCCCAGGCAGCACAAGGCTCTGCTCCCTGGAACAGCCCTAACCCAAACTCATCTGGATCACCTGGGGCCCCCAAATTTTCATTTCAGATCTTCAGTTATTCTTTCCTCCTTTTCCTCAAGTCTATGTAAGCAGGGCTGGTTTTGCCATTGTTTTCTGAGGCTTTTTCACCAGGTTAGGACCCAGCACCATTTCTGGGCTCTGGGGCTGCTCCTGGGGGCTCCATTTCTGCCCAGGGCCCTGGCAAGGGAGGCTGGCAGTGTTAATCCCCATGTCCTGCTTTGCAGTCAGCTCCATATTTCTACTACAGCTCAGGCTGATTCATCCAGTCTTTAAGACTCCTTTGCAATTTGTCACTGACATATTTTATGAAAAATCCTCTCCTTAGGATTTTTTCTCCCGAGAAGCTGAGAGGCCTCAGAAATGAAATATAAACAATGATTATCTGCTGCTGTGGAATGCAACAAGTGCAGCTTTGATTGGTCTCATGTGGTTGTTTTCAATTAATGGCCAATCACAGTCAGCTGGCTCAGACTCTCTGGTCAGCTACAAGATTTTATTATCATTCCATTCCTTTCTACTCTTTGCCAGCCCTCTGATGAAATCCTTCTATTCTTTTAGTATAGTTTTAGTATATAATTTTCTTTTAATATAACATATATCATAAAATAATGTCAGCCTTCTGAAACATGGAGTCAAGATTCTCCTCTCTTCCCTCATCCTGGCACCCCTGTGAATACCACCACAGCAAGATTATTTTTTTCCATTTTAAGATAGGATGTGGTTCAGCTGGCATCCTAGCCCTGGTTGATCACCACAAAGAGCTAGAGCAGCAGCACAGGAGGTTTTGTGCATGAGCACGAGCTGCAAACACCCATCCTCACCATCCCCTGCAGACCAAAGTGGTTCAGAAAAGGAACAGAGCCTCTGATGGAGCCCTGTGTAGAACCTGTGTCAGTTTGACTTGTTTTCAGCCAAAACACACTCAGGACTTTGAGCTTTATCTTTGCTTATGTGTAATTGATAAAAATCCCTCTCCCCACAAAATTTTGAGGTATCTGAGAAAGGCCTGCATTAAAAAAAGTGTATGAATCAGTTATCAGTATGGATTAAAGAGTACCTGCAGCTATTGCAATGGCAAAGTTACCTGTAACTATTTTGGATGTTTTGCTGCTCATTTGTTAAAACTTTCTTGACTAGGAGTTACCTTCATTAGCAAGAATTTAACTTTTGATTTGATAAGTGATTCAGAGATGAAGCAGAGCTATACTATTCCTTTCTGCCTATATTTGTGACAGTTCTACAGACATAACCCAGCTATTTTTTGAGAATTCATCCACAATACTGTTCCTCAACTGGAAAAATATTGATACAGCCTCAATCTGATCTGTATGTAACCTTTCAAGATGAAAGGGCAAAAGATGTGTTTCTGAGAGGTATCCTCTCCTCCAATATTAGAGAATACTGGACATCACCACCACAGGGTAATATTTATGTAAAAAGGAGTTGCTGCTCTGCCTTGAAGTGAGCCTTTTGTTTTTGTAAAAAAATAAAAAATAAAAAATAAAAAATTCAGAGTAATACAGAAAAATATGGGTCATTTTTCCTCCTTGTCAGCTTTACTGCAGTGAAAAATTTCTCCATAGTTTTGCTTACAATTCTCCTGGCTAACAGTCATTGTTTAATTTATAAAATAGCTGCCAGGACCAACAGGCATGTTTGTCTCCTTTCAGAGGATTTAAACAGCAGAGATCTTAAAAAGCAGATACTCCATTAAAATGACTTTATATCATATCTATTCAGACTTTACAAGCCTTGGCTTGAAAGCCTAATCCATTTGTTTCCCTCAGACTCCTTTACATTTGCCTCTTGATGAAAGGGGATACACTGAGTGCATCCCAGCAGTGATAAGAAAAGCAGCTTCAGCCTCCTTATCAAAACACACAGGGAATGAAGGATGGTCCTGCTCAGACAGATGTTCCTTCTCAAGCTCATCTAAACTTCTCATATCCCAGGTATTGCTTTGCATTTTCTGGGCATTATCTCCTAAAGGATGAATCAATGATCCCATGAATCAATGATCCCAACAGCCCAGGGTGGAAGCCAGCACTGCAAGGATGGGCTGGACCACGCTGGGCAATCCCTGCAGCTCTCCCACCACAGCACAAGCACAAACTAGGCACCAAAGGTGATGGGGAAAATGAGACAGGAAAGCCTTATAAATATGATTTCCTGGCAAAAGATTGTGAGAATATGGAAACTATAAGTGAGATTAAAATGAAAGCAAGCTTTGAGATACCTGAGTTACTGAACAACTGGAAAACAATGGTGTGGCTGGCTGAAGGTGAACCCCTTTTGATGAAACAATTCCCTCTGCTTCCAGACAGGTCCAAAGGTCAGAGCAGACCCTGCCAGCTTGGCAGAAGGGGCCCAAAGAGGAGTTTTTAGGGTTTAAAATGTAACACAGTATGGTAATGTAGTGATTCTTATAGGCTGTATGGAAATGCTGTAGGATCTGTATATTGTACTGGATTGGTTAGTGAGAATCAGAATATTCAGCACAGAAGAAGATTTATTGTACTGTAACAGGAACCTTGCTATCTATCCTCTTTACCACTCTCTTTACCTCTCTCTCCCTCTTTGGGGCCTGCTCTGAGCTGTGTCTGGCAGCTCCCAGCAGGGCCCTGCACCCAGGCCCTTTGCAATAAACCCCAAATCCCAGCAGGGCCCTGCACCCAGGCCCTTTGCAATAAACCCCAAATCCCAGCAGGGCCCTGCACCCAGGCCCTTTGCAATAAACCCCAAATCCCAGCAGGGCCCTGCACCCAGGCCCTTTGCAATGAACCCCAAATCCCAGCAGGGCCCTGCACCCAGGCCCTTTGCAATAAAGCCCAAATCCCAGCAGGGCCTGCACCCAGGCCCTTTGCAATAAACCCCAAGTTCCAGCCCTGGCTGCAGAGATCTCTGGTCTCTGTCCATCCCCACCATCCTACCCCCATCACTCCTACCCAAAGGAATGTCCCTGCAGCTGCCACAGCAGCCCCAGAGCTCCCTTCCCCAGGGATCAGTGCCAGGGAGTGGAGGCACAGTCCCTGGGCTGGCATCTGAGGGAGCTCTGGATTTTCTTTCTCCTCCTGCTCCCCTGTGGATTGTAAAGCAATTGATACAGAGACAACATCACAACATCATCCTGCATTGCCTGCCCTTGATAATGGCACTCCTATCACCTCCCACTCTTGTGTCCAGCCAGAGAACCACAGAGAGCATCACTGATCCTACCCCTCTCTTCCACCTCTGAATGACCACTTCCAGCCTCTGAGAAAGATTCCCAGACGTTCTCACCTCAGCAAAGTTTAATCAAGGATTTCTCACAATAGCTGAGGTTTGGGAGGCTGAAATACTTTTTACTCCGGATCCCAGCTGTCCCTCAGTTCACTCAATAGTTCTGAACAGCGACTCGTTCCCAAGCACAGCCCTCCATTTTTTAATCTTTTGTTAATGAGCAATTCCACATGCTCCTTGAAATGATTATTTGATTTAGGATGCCCTCAAATTATAAGCAGCCCAGAGTTACTTTAAGTGTATGCTGCATCTTTTTCTCAATGAAGATTAATGCTATACTTGCCCTGGGGCTATGTAGGAAGGAAACATTTGTGCAGCAGCAACTTTCAAAACTTTCCCCAGATTGATTTATGTGTTTATTTGTTTTCAACTTTTGGGCTCTTGCAAATGATGTCTTTAGTCTTCTGATGGAATACTGGCATCCAGTGATTTACAACTGGCTAAAAGCAAGTGTGTGGAGAGAAGATTATTTGTCTCTTGACCCTCACTGAGGGCTAGATTGAATAAAGGAGTTTGTATAAACTAAGCTAAGCATAAAGACTTAAAGTCATTATGTAAAGCAAGAAATAAAATAGTCCAACAACCAAAACAAAATGCCAAACAGTGAGTTAAAAACAAAGATTAAACCTGCCTTCAGCTACACAGGAAAAACCATGCTCATAGGAAGGCAGAGTTCCTGAAATGAAGTATTGATTTTCTGCTGAAAGAATTGTAAGTATAAAAGGACAATTAATTTTTGGACTAAGCTAACGGTCACATTATTGCTCTCTGGGTGAAGCAAGAACCTCATCTGTCTGTATATATCCACAGCATTTGACTCCTGTGCTCAGAGGCAGTGAGCTTTTAATCAAAACTAGATTGTTAAGAATATTAGAGTATGATCAAGTGTCCTGGTTATTCCTGTAGGGATTTGAGCTTCAAATTGAAGGTGACTTTGTTTGACAAACACACACACAGCACCCCTCTGGAGCAGCATCTCACCTTCCCTCCTGGCCACTCACCTCTTGTCCCTGCCTGAGCACCCCCTGTCCTGCTGAGTCCCCTCTCAAGGGTTTGGGGCTCATCTTTTGCCTTGTTCTCCTCAGCCTTCCCATCCTACACCTTGGAACTCCTGTCCACAACAATGTGCAAAAAGCAAGGTTTGTCACCCAGCAAGCATTGCTGGCTGAAACTATTTTGTGTGCCAAAAACAAGAATATTATCCCAAACCAGACAGACCAAAAAAAAAAAAGGCAAACAATTAACAGCTTTTAAGTCTTGCTGTATCAGTTCAGATAAATCAGGCAGTTTTCTTTAAACAAACCATCCAAGCCCTAAATAAATATTCAGACTCCTGAGCAGGATCAATTCAAACCTGGCTGATCTTTCACTATGATTTAAAAATAAGATTTTCTGCTTGTTTAAGAAGAAATACCGATATGACCTCAGGCTTGCACATTGCTTTTCCTCTCACAAAGGTTCTTGCAGGGAATGTGTGACAGTGAATCCACGCTGGGCACGAGTGGCTCTGGAGCTGTTCCTGAGCTCTGACCGAGTGTGTCCCGCCCCATCCCGTGAGGAGCAATTGTCAATTATTCTTTTTTTGCAGAGCACCCCGGTGAGAGCAGCTTCTGCTTCCAGGTCTGGCTGGAGGTGAAGCCGAGCAGAGCCCGGACGCCGCTCAAGCGCCACCGACCGAGGAAACTTTTGAAATATGACTGCAGGGAGGATTTCATCTGCACAATGCTGCTCTGCTGGGATGTGACAGGCTTCCTGCCCGGGTCTGCAAGGTATGGATCTGCTTCATACATGAAATCTTATCATTTCCCTTCCCTCCCTTCACCTCTGCTGTTTTGGGAAAGGAGTATAGAAAGAAAAAACCAAAAACCCCCTAGAAAAACAACAAACCAAAACCAGACACTGTTTTGAAATAAATCCTAAGGCTTGAGATGAGTTGAAACATGATTAACCAGCTCTCTGCAATGTATGTGGTTCATTATTAGTTTATATTTAAAGTGACAGTGCCAAGATTATCAGCTTAGGAGAAAACCTCCAAAACCATATATTTTAAAGTGTCTTGCATAGGTAGGGTTGATTGCAAAACTCAGGCACACTGATGAGCACAAATGTTACAGAGAGCCTGTAACAGAGCTGGAACACTAAGGACGGTGCCAGCACCCTGCATTAGGCCATAAAAATTAAATATAATCTCTCTTCTGTGGCAATCCCTCATGAAAAGGGCACTGGGAAACAAAACAACCAGCAAAGACCAGATGCTCAGCATGGAGTCCTCAGTGAGGTAAAGGGCTCCTGATCCCTGACCCAGCTCCAGGGACTGAACAGAAACACAGAAATAAGCCAAGGAGCAGGGCACCAAACCTTGAGGATGCCAACCCCTTTGAAGGGACACAGCTGCTGCCTGCTGCTGGGCACAGAGCCACTCTTGGTGCTGAATTCCTCACCCAGCACAGCTCCATCCCTGGCTGAGCCTGCCTGGGGCACACACCCACTCCCAGAGAGGTCACAGGGGAGAGACTGCACTGAAACACCCAGGGGTTTGCAAGAAGACAGATTCAGGATGGCTAACTTGCCAAGTTGGAACCAGAGATTGTTTCTTTGTTTAGACCTAATCACATTTTCAACAAATCTGAAGAATATTAAAAAACCACAATTCTACAGCTTATTGCTGTCAAGCTGGGGAAAAAATGTAATTTTCTACAATTCAGCTCTTCAGAGAAAATTTGATCAATCAAGTGTGAAACTTTATAATTGTTTCTGCTGATATTTTCCCCCCAACACACACACAATACTGTCAACATTAACCCTGCTAGCAAACAAGAGGAAAACATCCAGCCAAGCAGTCTGTAGCTGGAGAGAGAGCCGATTTCAACAGCACTGATGGATTTCACACCCCAGAACAAGGAAAACCAACTGCACAGCACATCCCAGGGCTGGGATGGAGGGCAGGGGGTGCAGGCAGAGCATCCAGCATGGAATCAATCTGCTCCATCCTGGGATTCACTTCCACAGCCACTCCAGAGCTGGATGTGCTGCTGGGCACCAGGTGAGTGAGGAAGGGCAGTGCAGGCCCTGGCCAAGGAAATGGGAATTAAACAGGAAAAGTTGTGCAGCTGTTACAGGGATGGAGGAGCACAAGGAGATGGCAGACAGCAGGACACAGCACATCCATGGGATATTTGGGAGCTGGACTTTCCCAAGAGGAAACAGTCCTGGTGAATACTTCTTTTTTTTTTTTAATTTGGGGACTATTTTGTAATTTTTGTACTTGTGAACACACCTACTTTTGCATTTGTGGACTGTCTCTTGCTTGATGTAGAACAGCAGTGAGTTCCAGCCACAATAAATTAATCTGTCCCAGGCACAGCCCCATTCCAGCACCCAGGGCTCCTGCCCTGCCAGGCCTGCAGGAGTGCAGGAACAGCACCAAAGCCTGCTGGCACCAACCTCCCACAGCTCACATGAACCCTTTGACAAGCCAGAGCTGCAGAGGAGGCTCCACTCTGACACAGGCAGGTGAGCAGCCAAAGCCAGCCCCAAGGAACACACTGGCCATCAGCAGTGACTGCATGCAGAACATGGCTCAGCATCAAAACATTACTGAGTTTGTGGGGCAACCAAAAGGAGAGACCAAAAACATGATTTATACACCTCAAGAATTCAGCTTTCTTGGAAAAAAGTATTTCTAGTCCCACTGAAAATGTCTACTTTTGTCAAAACAGATCAATATAAACCTGGAATCGTTAGGTTCAAGCTGTCACTGTAGTTTACTGTGCAAACCACAGCTCAGGTGCCACAGCCTTTCACTCTGCTCTCTGGGTAAAGCCTGCTAAAGCCTGGCTATCCTTTCCAAAATGTGCTTTTCCCTTCCAGCAGGAGAGAAACATCCTCCAGGCACAGTCCTGAAGCAGAGGGATGCAGCACTTAAACCAGACTTCTATGAGATTGAGCGATGCCATTTTGAAGAGAAAAATCTCCAAGGGAATAGATCTCTACTTGAAACCTCTGATCATTTTCTGACTAAATTATTCATCTTTCCAAAGGGAAAATGCAGTTTTCCCTCCAAGATCAGGACTGATGGATATTACCAGGTAGTTCTGCTATTCTGCAGGAGGTAACTTAGGGTGAAATGATCCCACATGGTACAACAGCCAGAATGTCAGGAGAGGAAAAAAAAAAAATCAAAAATCCCACCCATCCTTGTTGGACCTTCACAAGAGCACTGCAGGAAAAGACTGGGATACATTTGCAGTTTTGATAACATTTTTTTTTTCTTTTGTATTCATAAAGTATTCATATTTAATACTCAGCTTTGCTGACAAACCTTTTTCTCATCAAATGAAGTTATAAACTGCAATGTAAGATCTCTTGGCTGGGGAAATAGAGTGGTAGCAGAGTCTCTGAGGAATATTAGACCCCTGACCAGGCAAGGTGAGCATTACAAGCCTGACCTCACTCCTCAGAGATTTCTTCATGAGCTCCTAAGGATGTGACTGATAAATTCATGAGATCATGAGATCTCATGATGCTTGGTTTCATTCACTTTGTGTCATCACTTCTTCATTTCCCTGACTGTCACAGTAATTTCTGTGCTTTCAGGAAATTAAAAAAAACCTGACATCCTTGTGCTTAAAATAGACTCAAGAGCCCAGCTGATTTGTGCTTGCCTTGTGGGATCTAGGAGGTTGTGAGGCTGGAAAACCACCTGAAAAGGAGCTAATTATGAGACAGGGAGGAAACTGTGAGCTTGTAAAATAAAAGGTCTTCAGCTGACCCTGAGTAAGATTTGCAGGGCTCAGGAGCTCAGGAGTGCCTGGGACACCCAGGGCAGCTGCAGGAGCAGAGCTGCAGCCAGATGTGAGGCACCACTGCAGCAGCCCTGCCAGCAGCAGCAGCTCGCTGTAAACTCAACCAGGCAAACCTGGCTGTGGAATAAAGCTGGGATTTCCTCACTGTGTTAATGTAGTAACGGAAAGCAGCTGGGCTGTTTGATACCCCAAATCCTCTCAATATCTTCTTGTTCCCATCTCTCCCCTCCAGTAAAGCAGGGGCTGCTCTCAGGTTGATTATTGCATTACATATGAATGACTGTTGTATTGTTTGCTGTAAGAGGCATATTCCACATTCCTGATCCTCTACACTGTAATCCCCAGCACTTCTCCCTCCCACCTTGGCCAAACATGGATGTCAGGAGAAGTTTCCCCATCCCCGGGCAGTGACTCAGTTCTGTGTAAGGTCAGCTCCTCTCTTTCAGCACAACTGTGCAAAGCAGTTTGTGTTATCAGCTGGTGAGCTGTCCAGAATCAAACTTTCAGAGGGAGTCCATCCCTGCTGAAGTCATTTTGGTTTTGGATCAGGAGAGGAGGCCAGAGAGACCTTCAGCTATGCAGACATCTGCAGTGAATAAGATAATTCTTGTTCTAATCACATAATCACCTGTACCTCTCTGGTTGATAAAACATCCACTTAAAAATTATATTGCTCCTAAAAAAAAAATCTTCTACTGCCTGGAGAACCTTGAGTAGCAGAGATTAAAAGATTATGGAAGATAAGTATGCATAATTTTCACTTTGCTTTGTGCCAGTGAGAGACAGAGAATGTTTGGACAGAGAGGAAAATTGGAATAGAAACAGTCTGCTCTGCCATTTGTCTGATCTTTCACACTAGCAGAGGAATGGAAATATTTTTATGATTAGGAAATGCTGAGACAAGAACAGCGTCTGAGCCTCTTTTAGGAGATGATATTTCAAGCAAATAGTGCTCATTCACTATTGCTTCTTTTTTCTTTGTTAACATCACTTTTTAGTGTCTAATATTTCAGCAAGAAGCATTTGTGGGCCAAATTAAGGTGGAGACGAAGTTTCTTCTTCTCACAGCTCTCATTCAGCTGAGCTACAACATTTCCACTGGGTTTAATTCCCTGCAAGAATTTAGTAGACCTGTAACAAGTACCTGTATACTGTTGGAACCCAGGACATTTCTCTGCCTGCCCTGGAGGACTCAGGACCCTAGCAGGGGGCTCAGAGACCTTGGCACAGAGTCAAAAACACCTTTACCTTTAATTTTAACCCATAGAAACAATTACCAGCTTTGTGTGAGGAGTTACAAGCCACAAGAGTTTGAATAGAATGATGGTGAATTTATCACAGGGTGAAAAAGTAGAATTTTGGGCGTTTTAGAATGGGGGTTCAAGAGGCAAGATGGAGGAATCTGCGCGTGTCCAGTCTTTCTCTTTCTTGTCCTCCATCTTCTGATGTGATGGCGGCACTTTTGGATTGGTTTAGAGACCAACTATCTAACATAGGTGATAGGTACTGGAAAATTATTTTAAATAAAGTACATGTAGATTTTAGTATAAAAAGATAGCAGCACCCCACACATGGTCAGTGTGCCATGAACCAACATGCTGGACAGTTCTCAGCAGGTCAGAGAAAGAATTACAGACAAAAATAATAAATGTTATTAATTAATATTATAGATAAAAAAAAATAAATAAGCTTGAGAACCAGAGCCAAAGAATTCTGTCTACTTCAGTCTCAGGGCTGGGAAAAAGAGACTTTCCAACACCTCAGGGTCACCTTGACACCAGAGACCCATCATGGCACAACCCCTGATTTTCCCCAGCAGTCCCTCGTGCCTGACACCCTGTTTGTCTTGCAGGAGCTCGATGATGTTAGGAGCAAACTCCAGCTGGGCTGAGGAGCGGCCCCAGCCATGGAGGTGCCCACCCCAGAGCCCGTGTACGTCGACGTGGACAAGGGGCTGACGCTGGCCTGCTTTGTGTTCCTCTGCCTCTTCCTGATTGTCATGATCATCCGCTGTGCCAAGGTCATCATGGACCCCTACAGCGCCATCCCCACGTCCACGTGGGAGGAGCAGCACCTCGATGACTGACGGGGCTCCCGGGCAGAGCCAGGGGTGCTCTGCTCCTCGTGCCCCCCACAGCCATCCCCAGATGTGCAGGGCAAAGGCAATGTCTCCAAGAGCACATCGTGTAAAGTTATTTCTGCTCAGCAGGTCGAGGTATCAGCAAGCCATTCTGGCAGCGAAGTTTACTACTATGCAGCAACTCTTGTTTTACAGTTGTCTCTTATTTTACATTTTAACTCGAGTAGCACAAGATTCTCCAGATTTTCCTGATGTAACTCTTGGTCTAGCACAGTTTGTCCCACCCTCAATATCACCCACAAACCCAGGGTAATGCCATAAAAAAAGCAACCCATCAATGCCATGAAAAAGCAACAAGAGTATTCTTCTTCTTCCAGTCTTTCCTGGAAACTGATTGCTTCAAATATTGATTGCTTCCTCAGTCACTATGGGTGCATTTTAGCAAAGGCCCAGATTTCTTATACCAGAGCATCACTAAATAAAGTGCTGGAGTACCTCTGGCTAAGTAGAATTATACAAGCAGGTTTATTCTTGCCTCTGATCCTGCACTTGCACTCCCCACCCCACTGCAGCCATAATTCCAGTGACCAGGATACTGAGGCACTCAGATTTAGGGGGTCCTGGGCTGCTGTAGACCCCACAGGACCACCTTGCTCTGTCCTAGTCATGCAAAAAACAGCCATTTCCTCTGCCATGGGCCCTTGGATTAGTCAGGCCACTGATTTTGAGCTTGGTAGGCACCAAAAATCCCTGGAGCAGAGCCTGGACACTGCTGGTGTGAACTACATAAAACCTGCTGTGGTTTTCAAAGAGTGATTCCACATGCAATTTCACCCTTCTTTTGCTCCAGGTGTACTTCAGTGGGATGAGACAGGACTGGAATGACAAGGACAATAAGCAGAGAGACTTTTCCCCCAGCTTTGCCATTCAGATTCCTCAGCATAACATTTACAGGCACACACAATAATAAGCATTCTACCTCGGAGAAATTCAGCTTCTTCAAAGGAAGATTTTTTTTTCCCCCCACAGGTTTGTAAGGTACATTTTCTTCTCTCAATTCATTCAGACAGCCATTATGCAAGAAAGCAGAACACGGGAGCTCTGGAAATTTATTTTTTACCTTTGAAGAGTGGGACTGCAGCATTCCAAAGTTCTCAATTCCTCAAATTCTAAGGTTTGATCATGCCTGTTTTTTCTTTCATGACTACATGTTCAACTCATGGGATTGAAGGGAAGCAATTCAGAGCAGGTGCTGCCAGCACCATGAGCAAAAAAGGCTTGAAAGCACAAAACTTCAAGAAAGGCATTTCTCCATTTCCCCTCCTCACTATCCCACCTGACCCCCAGGTTCTTGCCATGAGACCCCTCACAGTGGGTGGGAAAGGTAGAAGCAAAGGCTGTGGCAAGAAAATTGGGACACAGCCTTTGTAGGGCACTGTTCTAGCTCTGACAGATTTGTTTGATAATCACACAAATCAACTTTTATGCGCCTCAGTCTACTCATCAGTGAAATGGGTGCAACAACTTCATCTTGCGTCACCTCATTTTGTCTGTCTAACAATACAAGAAAGCACCTGGAGAGCCTTAGATAGAGACACAGACATGAGGTTCTTACTCACAGCTCCTCCTGCTAAAACCAACAGGGAAGCTCTGGGTCTTGTTACCCAGACAGAGCACTTGTCCAGACCCCCATTTACTCTCTCATTGCAGCATTTTGGGCCAAGCCAAATGACACCTGGCTTTTTTACATAGCCCACTGGTTTCTGAGGATGTAAGGTGCTCAACACTGCAAATACAGAGATCCCAAAACAGCAGGCTATCAGGCATATGGAGACCTCTGCATGAATCTTTTGAACCACACAATTTCTGCTGATCTCCGTTGTAGGAGATCCCTTTCCTGAGGCAGGGAATGCAAAGATTAGCTTTCCTCCTGGTGTCCTGTACAAGATGCCTCCACTGCTTCCATCACCCACTGCAGATTGCTCCTCAGGCTGCTATTTAGCCTCAGCTTCTGCTAGCCAGGTAATCATCAGTAACTGAGCACTTTTTCAGGCTTGAAAGTTTAATGTTCATCATACTTGGAGCAAACCCACAGTTCCCTCTCTTACTTATGGGCAAGTCTATCTGTGCCATAGGAATGGATGTCCCAGCTCAAAGAACAACTTCTGTTCCCTGGGCTAAACTTTGGAACCTGTTTTTGTCATTAAATCTTGTATCCCTCTAGTGGGGCTATTCACAAAATAAGGAAAATAACAAAATTAGATCCAGGCTAGGGACACTTTCAGTGTGCAGATCACCTGGCTGAGCTCTCAGCTGGTGCAGAGCAAGGACAGAGCTTGTCCTCACACCTCTCAGTGCCAATACTCCCCTGGGTGTTGATCTGCATGCAGGACTCTTTGGCACTGGCACACATCACTGACGAGCCCCAGTTCAGCTAAGGACTTATTCAGGTGCTCAAGTTTAATCCTCTGAGCAGGCTGCCCACCTACAGAGCCAGGGTCAGTGCTGTGGCAGGTTCCTGACCTGGGACAGCCCTTGGAGCAGCAAAGCCTGTCTGAGAATGGAGGGTTACAAATGCTGGGGAAGCAAATTGACAAATTTGCTTTACAGGGATGGTTGCCAATTTTTTCTTTCTCTGTCCAGCTGAACAAACCATTCTATGGATTTTCCTGAAAATCCTCATGAAAAGACCCCTCTGGGTAGCTTTGTTTTCTAATAAAAAGGCACTTGTCCTCCTGGCATAGCCTGTCCAGTCCATCCTTCTGTTAACAGAAAAATAAAAATCTGGATATTCACATACATGACTACATTAAAGTCAATGAGATTGTTTTTATAGAGAAAATGTAAATCTATTGATCTCTTCACTCTAGTGACCAGTGACAGGACTCGAGCCTGAGTTCAAGGAGCCTTTGGACAACCCTCTGAGGCACATGGTGACATTCCTGGGATGTCCTGTGCCAGGCCAGGAGTTGGACTCCATGATCCTGATGGATCCCAACTCAGCATCTTCTAGGATTCATTCTCATTTCTGCCTTTCCCCACTGGTTACAATCACACAGCCTCACTCCTCTTTAAGCAAAAGCAATACTGAACATCATGCCTAAGCCAGACATTTCCAGCTCCTTCCCCTGGAGCCAGGGCTCTCCCAGCCCAGGTGAGTCCCTGCAGCTCTGGCTGGAGCCAGGGAAGGGCTCTGCCAGCAGGAGCTGCACCACTGGGCTTGGCAGGAATTCCAGCTGCATGCAACAAGTGCCTCTGCTAGTTTTGGTTCTTTTTTTAATCATCGTGCCATACTACCAGCAACTGCACTCAGAGGATGCAAGTCAAACTTGTTGCAAGTGTATTTATCTAACATAATAAACAGCTTCGACATGAAAACCTCCTTGCTGTCTCTGTTGTGGTTTTCTTACAGTTGCCAGGACACCTTTTAAAAATACTCACAACACAACATGATGTACAAGAAGGGCACACATTCCTGACAGCCCTCCTTGGAGAGTGAGAGCAGGGAACAACTCCCTGTGTAGTAGTAGAGAACAACTCCCTGGTCCACTACAGATTTTTGGAGCTGAGGGCAGAGCTGATGGAGCCCCAGGTGTCCCTTAGGCTCTGCAGAAGCTCAGACTTTCCAGCCATTCCAGCCTTTCCAGAGGGGCTATTCCAGGTTACTCCCTTGGCCAGGAAGAGCAGTCAGCTTCAGCCCAGTGGGAAACTGCAGCATCTGTATTTCAGCAATTCATTATCAGTAACAAATTGCATACCAAAGGAAATAGGGCCACTGAGACTGGAATCCCTCCTGCCAGCAACTGAAAATGAGGAGCACGGAGCATCTGTGGGGATTCTCTTTGAAGGGGCTCCAGAGCATAGGATATGCAGGGCAAAAATCACCCAGGGAACTCCTCCTCTTGAAAAAGATGAAGAGATGAATTGCTAATTCTTTCATCTTGCAAAAAAGAGTTCTGTTGCCTGACAGCTGGGTGCTTTATAGACCTGCCTGTCCCTGCAGCAAGTCCTCTGGCAGCAGGATCTCTGTGCCTGGAACCCAGTTTGCCACAAAGACTGAGCCCCACTGATAAATCATTTCTTCTCTCCTGGTCAGAAACAGGGGTTGGAGCCTTTACTCTGTTTTCTGTACAGCTGCCCTGGCTAAGGTAAGAGCAGACCTGAACTGGGGCCAGCAGCAGCCGAATTTGAGCAGACACCCTGGAAATGGTTTTCTGGAAGGAGCAGGGACTGATGGCAAGGCAGATGATGCTGCTGCAGCCTGGTGTCCCCAGCCTGCTGGGTCATTTCAGTCTCAGCAGGCAGCTTCAGACTGCCTCAGCTCAGAAGCCAACACAGCACCCAGATGGGAAATGCTGTGCTCAGACTCCAGCCATCTCCTTCACATTTTAAAATTTTTTTAAATACTATTTTCATTAAAAATGGTCAATACCTTGCTAGCCAGGAGGAAAACTCTGTTCACACACACATCTTTAAAGCAATAAGCAATTTGAAAATGCTGGTTGCATTTGTTCTCAGGTCATCATATATAATTAAATTCACAACACTGTTAAGAAACACTGAATTAGAGAATTCTTAGTTACAAAGCTGCATGTTTTGTACTGGAACCTAGCCAGGCAGCCCACACAGGGAAATCAGAAATAAAAAATGTATTAAAATTGCATTAAGCATGCCAAAGCCATAAGGAGTGCGAAGTTTTTCAAAACTTATTTTATATTTAAGATTGATTGGATTTCTCCTGCAGCTGCTGCCTTGCCTCTGCAGATCAAAGGAAGGACCTGGCAGGGGTGAGCAGGCAGCAGAGCTGGGCACACTCCAGCCCTGCAGCAGCTCCCAGAGCCCCCAAAATGGGATCCCAGGATACAACAGCTCCAGGGCACCCTGTGCTCTGCAGGGCACTGGAGATGCTGCAGGGGCTGAGCCCTGAGCATCCCTGGATCCTGCACAGAGAGGAGCGGGACAGAAACCCTCCCAGGCAGCCCCTCAGGGTTCAAAACCAAGGTGCTGATCCCCAGGCTGAGCCAAGGATGCCCAGCTACCGCCAGGGATCTCTGCTCCTGCAGCATTTCCCTTGGATGCTCAATAACTGTGTGAACAGCAGCCCTGTGACCGTGTTCACAGGGGTTTTTGGATGAGGGAAGGGATGAGGATCTGACTCCATGTTTCAGAAGGCTTGATTTATTATTTTATGATACATATTATATTAAAACTATACTAAAAGAATAGAAGAAAGGATTTCATCAGAAGGCTGGCTAAGAATAGAAAAAGAAAGAATGATAACAAAGGTTTGTGGCTTGGGCTCTCTATCTGAGCCAGCTCACTGTGATTGGCCATTAATAATAATAATAAATAGGGGCCAATCACAGATCCACCTGTTGCATTCCACAGCAGCACATAATCATTGTTTGCATTTTGTTCCTGAGGCCTCTCAGCTTCTCAGGAGGCAAAAATCCTAAGGAAAGGATTTTCCATAAAAGATGTCTCTAACATCAGCCCTGCCTCAGCTGCTTATGGAGCAAAGAGTATTGTAAAACCAGAAAGCACAGGCAAAAACCAGAAAGCACAGTTCTATGGTTAAAACTCCATGGAAAACCAAGCACTTGTGCAACACTGAAAGAGTTGAGGTGAAGAAGTTCTTGGGAATGAGGGAAGATGAGAAGGAGGAGCCGCTCACAGCAGATTTGTATGGAGCAGCGTGGTGCCATCACCTCAGCATGTCCCTCACGTACTTCCAAAGCCTTCAGTCAATTTTAAAATCCCAGAAATTATCTCCTTCTTTCTCACTAAGCAGCAGCTGTGTGGGCATTCTGAGCAGAAGCAGCAATCAAACCTGAGCAATGTTCTCCTGCCTCAGTGCTTTACGCCAAAAGCTGCGCGAGCATCACCCACCAGCCCTGTCCCTCTTCACAAAGTCACCACCTTGACCCTGAACAGCTACTGAGAGAGTGTTTTACTTTGAGTTATCACTCCTGGGTAATGGAAGAACTATGAATATTGCTGACCCAAAGGCTTACATCAAAACAATTTTTTTCCCCCAAGATATCGCATCTGTTTCTAATTAGAATCTCTGCAGAAAACTACTTCAGGTGAAGAGTGCCTGCATTTCACAGCAAAAAACCATTGGTTCCTTTAAATTCTGAAATACATTTTAAGGGTTTATTCCACGCTGGGGTTTTTTTTTTTGTGACACTTAATTATACCAACAGCACTATTATAAATTACACCCAGCTTTTTCATTACACACCAACCAGACGACGCTTTGATCTGTAAGAAAATGCATCTCCAAGTACTAAACAGTTGCTGCCTTTAGTTTTGCTACCAGCAAAATAACAAAAGCAGGTGGAACAGTCTCAGGCAGCATGATTTATTGCCTCTGTGCCCACCCTGTGATAAATCAGCAGCTCCTGCACCCCTCCAAGAGCTCCCATCCATCCACCAGCCCAGCATTACTCACCCCTGGATCTGTGCTCCAGCATGGATTGCTCCTGGGAACTGCTGACCTCTGCCCAGGCAGGAGAAGGATGCTCCAGGCTAGCTCAGGAGCTGTGCTTTCAATTTAGACTCACATTTCCATTTCCTTTGGTCATCAGCAAGGCTCTGTCTCCCCACACAACGTTGGGTGACCCTGAATGAGGCCTCTCAGGTGGCTGACACAGCAGAAAGGTTTTGCTTTTTCCTCCAGGCTTCTGAAGATCCAAGAAGGATTTTCTTGCTCCACACACAGGTTACAAACCCACAAACCTGGTGCTGTGACAGGGCAGCAAAAAAGGAGCTGTAAGTCTGTTTGTGGGGTTTTTCCACTTTTGTCTGAGGCCAGATTATAAGCAAACTAAGAAAATTATACATCTAAAACAAACAAAATGTAGTTATCTCTAGAAGCAGAGACAGCCATGCTCAACCCTAACTGAAACAGAATCTTCCAGAACTGCATGGGAAGCTCTTTGTAGAGGCAACCAACCCAAGTGAAACTGGCACTTCAAAAATAAACTTTTTCCAAGCAGTCAGCCTGTTAGGCTGAAACACTTTCTCATTCCTGATCCTTTCACCAGTGCTCAACTTCCCCCAAAGCAAGAGGAAAGCTCCATGACCTCCATTTTAAAGGACCAGGGTGCAAACTGACCCCAGCTGGCCCAGGGGAGGTGGAGCAAGCAGGAGGTGCCCACACCACCTGTGTGTGTCCCAAAATTTGGGTCAGAAGCTGCTTTCCCACCAGGCAGTGGGTGCTGCTGGCCCCAGGCCAAAGCAGATTGCAGCACAGTGTGTCCTTCACTGTCCCTGGCCCAGGGCACCCTGGCAGGGATGGGAACCAGCAGTGCTGTGGCTCCAGGCTCACTGCACTGGCCATGGACCCCCCTTCTCCACAGTGCCCACCCAAAAAGAGCCCTGTCACAGACATCTTTTATGAAAAATCTTTTTTTTTAAGATTTTTGCCTCCTGAGAAGCTGAGAGGCCTCAGGAACAAAATGTAAGCAATGGTTATCTGCTGCTG